CACAGCAATAGAAAAGTAACTGAGACATAAGGCAAATACATCACCAGCAAAGCTTTCTCCCCAGTCCTAAATCTCCTCTTTTATAAGAATACCAGTCATGTTGGATCAGGGCCCACACTAATGGATTCAACTTGATCATCTAAAAAATCCTTGCTTCAAATAAGACCAATTTTAGGGAATTCAAGATGAGGATATATTTGGGAGAGAGAAGATAGTATTATTCAGTTGTCATTACTTCCCAGCAGAAACATGGAAGAAATGTGGTCTTTTTCTTCTTAGATCAAACTTTGTATGGACCCATGAGAAAGAGTTGACAGCCCCATGGTTTAAGTAATTAGCAAAGCAATCCTCCCAAATATTGCAGAGTATAGGGTAGACACCAGCCCACATGGAGAGGAATTCTACTTCAACGGTCTTAAGGGAATTTTAAAAATAGACACAAAATGGTGACCTACAAATTCACTATTGAACTTTCGATATCTGAAAATCACCATGGTGACACAGGATATTCAAAACCACTAGACTCAAACATGTGAATTTAAGTCCCCACTTAGGCAGACCAAAAAGTAAGGTGTCATCATTAGTTTGGGGGTGACCTAGGGGCCAAAATGAAGGGGATTGAATTATTCCAAAGGGAAGAAAACTTGTGGAAAACCTGTTGCTGCAGTGAGCACAGTCTTATGTGAGGTCTCTCAGAGCCATGGATAGAACATGAAACATGTTTCTAAGTTAAGAGTCTGGGTAGATGGCTCAGTGAAGCGCTTGTTGTACAAGCATGAAGACCTCAGGTTGGAACCCCAACCTGGTTAAAAAGCCAGGCATGGGCACCTGTAACCTGTGAGACTGTACAGGACAGATCTCTGGATTTCACCAGTCATCCAGCCTAGCCAGGTCTACTGAGAGGCTTTGCCTCAAAAGCCAATAAGGTGAGAGTGACTGAGAAAGATACTGGACCTTTGACCTCTAAACACACACAGAGAGATCAGTGGGGCTTTATTTCGTCATTCCTGCCTTCCAGTGGATAAAGATGGCTCTGGCTAAAGAGCAGAGTCCGTCAGGAGGGTGCATGATGAGAACTGACTGATTGCAGTTCACTTGGAGGGTGAGTACAGGGGTATGAACAAACCACTCAGAGCTCCTAATGGCCCCAGGTGTGGTACTTGAAACCCACCATAAAGTCCATGAAGTACCTAACACGTTCCTCTCTTGCTGACAAGTACAGTAGGCTTTCCCTGGGAGGGGGGTATTTAAAAACATCTTCAAACTGATAAATTAGTAAATGGCTTATCCAGGATCTGAACCCGTTGTTAAATGATTTTAAGCCAGTTTTCCTGAACCACAAAATGTGATACTGCCTGACTAATACATGTTTTCTCTTATCTTACTCTTAAAAGATGGGGCTTTGTTTCCGAGTTGGGTCCCCAGCTAACGGTAACATAAAGCAGGGACACACGGTGACTCTGGCACAAAGCTTTCATTCAGTGATGCCAGCCTCCTGAATAAAGTTTAGTTCTTTCAGTGGTTCTCTGTGTAGTGTTCTAAGTTCTGTTGTTGTTGTTTTAATGTGAGGCAGGTTTGCAGGGAAAGGTCTCTGCCTAGAACTCCTACTTCCTTCTGAAAGCATGGTTGAAAAGTCCGGACAGAGCCCATGGCAGCCACACCCAAGATCCATTGGGTACTGATGTAGTCCACAGTTTCTGTGGGCTCTCCCTTTTCCAGAATTACTGAAGCCTGTCCCTTCCCAGCTGTTCACAAGGCCTGGGGCGACAGGGAGACCCTGCTGAGGGGCCGCTTAAGTCTTCCTGTCACCTACCGCTGCGATGAGATTCTCCCCCGGTTGGCTTGGAGTGACAGTGATAGATTAAACGCACCAATTAAATTAGATCCTATTTTAAAGAGCTTGAGCTGGATTTACTTTTAATTATAGTGCTGTGCTCGCTGATGAGGTATTGTCGAGGACTTAACAATTGGTTGATTGTGCATCCGAGTATTCCGAGAGCAGTTTCTGGGAGAGCCAGCACGGCTTTCTTTCTAAGCAGCTTCTTGGAATAGAACAGGAAGGAGGAAGGAGGCGGGGGG